TGGGATCTCCTCCATATTTTATTTCCAACAGAGGCACCTTTGAAATTCTACACCTTCTGGCAATTGCTCCCCCTGCCAAGAGCCCCTGGGCTGCTGCTGCCTGTTGCTGATGCCAGTTGATTTATGGGGGTAGCTGCTCTGGTTCTTCAGGCTGGGGTTACCTCCCTATCTTCCCCCTCATACCTTTGATCAGTCTGAGTTACTCCAACAGCTTAATTTAGAAGATGCAGGGCTTGAGTTAGTAAAAAAATCCCTCTTTCCTTCTCTTGGCTCTTCTCTTCCATGCCAGTGGGTAGTGGTCACTCCTGGAGGAGACTTTTCTTCGGGATCTTTCCAGCCGACTCCCAGGGACCATTTGAGCTTTACAGCTGGTTTTTTGCCAAGACTTAATTCTGCTAATAAGTCGGCTTCCCCTGCCACCTCTAACAACAGGGAATTTGGTCCTCCAGTTGCTCCCAGGTCTTCTTGGTCACTGGCTGGATTAGACATTGTGTTCAAACCCACTCAGAAGAAAGTTTGTTAATTCTCCAGGTAGGCTGGTAAACTGAGATTCAGAATAATGTCAGATGGTGCTTCATTCAAAATCCAAGAAAGAAATACTTAGACTCCATTACTTAAAGAAAAGATATCTTTTACTGGAAATCAAATGGTAGCAACAAAAGAATTCTGAATCTGAGAAAATGAGTGCGTAAATCACATATACATAGTGATGGCAATATTCTCCCACCCCCAATAGTTGAATTGGCTCATCCAATTAAAAGTTGTGTATAGCATCATGTGGGCATCTCCAGGTGGTGATGAGGCCTCTGTCTGTTGACCTTGGCATATTTTGATAAACAGTTGTGGTTGTGCATAGCATAGGATAGAAGCCTAAGCAAGTAACTTCCTCCCCCAACTTATACAGTTCTGTTTTGTGAAACCTCCAGTTCAGTTCCAATAATCATGTCCCCCCCTTCCCCCGTTATTTATGAAAGCTGAAAGATGCAAAGCAAAGGAAAAAAATCTTGAAGGCTGACAAGTTTATTGAAAATGTGAAGAGTTGAGATGTAAAGTTGGTCTTCAGAGACATGGGGAAAATAGGCTATAGATGTATGCCTTGTATCAGAAGGCAGAGCTTTTCAAAATGGAATGACTTATTTAATAAAAGATAATGCTGATTATTATGTCAACAATCTATTTTAACAATTTCTTAAAGCAGTAACTGTGAGAAAGATCACTTAAATATGAGCCAGCAGCATGGCAGCAGCCAAAAAACCAATACAATCCTAAGTTGCATTAAATAAAATCAATATCCCATGAAGCATTAGTGTTGCTTTATAAAGCCTTAGTAAGACCACACTTAGAATACTGCTTACAGTTTTGGTCATCATATTATAAAAAAGATGTTCAGAGTCTAGAAAGAGTGCAGAAAAGGGACACAAAGATAATTGGGGGACTAGGTACTAAAACATATGAAGGTTTACAGGCAGGAGTGGGATTCTACCGGTTCTATAGAACCAGTTGTTATGATTCTACACAGTTTGGAGAACCGGTAAATCACATTACTGGCTGGCCCCACCCCTCTCTGCCTGCCCCCCTGCCTCACCCTGTCAGTCCTTGTCACATATGTGCGGCATCACTTACAACCTGCTTTTGCCCTCAGCAAGGCCAACTATTGCTGCCTGTCTTGCGCCGTGGCCCTGCTTGTGTGAGTGAGGCCCTGCAAGTTCTGGAGCCCAGTTGCCTATCTGCCACTGTCTTTCCCCCCACCCCACTTGCCTTTTTCTGCCACCCCCTGCCGTCTGACTTCAAAGCCCCTGAGGCCATCTGAGCTGGGAGCCATTGCTCCCAGGCTTCTGTTCACCCATGCTTGGTTGCCACCTCTTCACCTTGCCGGAAGTAGCTGGCTATTCCCCTCACCTTCCTCTCCCTTGCCTGGCCTGAGAAGGTAAGGGCGACAGTGGGGAGTAGTGAAGCAGCCAGGTCCCTATCTTCCTCTCTCTCTCGCCCCACCCTCTCTGTTTGTGTCTCTGAAAGCCATGGATGGGCTGAGCCAGTCTTTGTTCCTCAAGCATGGGGAGATGTTCCTCAAGCAATTGCCAAAGCACAAAAAAAAAAAAAAACAGTGGGCGGAGGGGGGTGACTGCTTACCCGGATCTCAGCTGCTCCAGGCCATCCAAACTCAAAGCCCCTTGGGCTGGCTGAGCTGTGAGCCAACACTCCCAGGCTTCTACTTGCCTGTACTTGGTTGCTGCCTCTTCACCTCACCCGAAGAAGCTGACCCTGCCCCTCACCCTCCCCTCTCTCGCCTGGCCTGAGAAGGTAGGGGTGATGGCAGAGAATAGCGAAGTGGTAGGGTCCCTATCTTCCTCTCTCTCTCCCCCCCTCTGTCACTCTCTCAAAGCCATGGATGGGCCAAGCCAGCAAGCTCTTCTTGGCACTTTTCACTCCTCAAGCACGAGGAGACCCTCCTCAAGCAAGTACCAAAGCACAGAAAAACCAGGTGCGGGGTGGGTCGCTGCTCGCTTGGATCTCGGCCACTCCAGACCGTCCAACCTCAAAGCCCTCGGTCTGGCTGAGCTGGGAGCCACCGCTCCCAGGCTTCTACTCGCCTCTGCTTGGTTGCTGCCTCTTCAACTTTCCTGAAGTGGCTGGCCCCACCCATCACCCTCCCCTCCCTCGCCTGACCTGAGAAGGTAAGGGCGACGGTGGGGGATAACAAAGTGGCAAGGTCCCTATCTTCCCCTCTCTCTTCCCCTCTCTCTTCCCCTCTCTCTCACAGTCATGTGACCACCAAGCCATGCCCAGCCAGCAAGCCACCGCCACAAATTAAGCCATGCCTACAGAACCAGTTGTTAAGAAATTTGAATCCCATCCCTGTTTATAGGAATTGGTGTTGTCTAGTCTAGTCTAGTGAAAAGAAAAAAATGGGAAGGCATGATAGCAATTTTCCAATATTTGAAGGGCTCCTACAAAGATGAGGGAAGTCAAATTATTTTCCAAAGCGCCAGGAGGCAAGACAGGAAACAATGGATGAACATATAAGAATATATAAGCCTCTCCAGAGATAAAAGTGAGATGTACTTTTTGATGACCTACAAGTGAAGAGCCAAAGATTATTTGAGATTTGTCCATAGAATCACCAAATAGAAGGATATTGTACAGTGGTGGGATTCAATTTTTTTTTACTACTGATTCTGTGGGCATGGCTTGGTGGGTGTGGCAGGTGAAGGATAGTGTAAAATCTCCTGTCAGAGGTGACATTTGCTGGTTCTCTGAACTACTCAAAATTTCTGCTACCAGTTCTCCAGAACTGGTCAGAACCTGCTGAATACCATCTCTGATGTTGTAGTCCAGGTAAATTTGATGTTAGAACACAAAAAAAGGACACAAGGAGTAGGAAGAGGAGGAGATCTGAAAGGGCTGATGAAAAGAAATGGAATAATAGTTCACCCCAAAGTAGACCTTACCCATAGTTAACAATAATCAAACTACTTTAGTTACTTAAGAACTTCTGACCTGAAGATTTGCCTATTGTCTTCATAATTTTAATTTGATTACAAGATGGAAATGAAATGTATACTTTGGAGGGGAGCATTTTATTAGAAATAATATGTTTCTAAAACACATTTTTATTTTTATTTACAGAACAGCATGAATGCAATAATTTTTAAGGGAAATATAACACACTTAGTTCTTATTAATCCTATAGAGGATTCACCAATTCTAGCTAACTATCAAACAACTATAATTATTTATATTGCCTTCCTATTTCTCTCTTGTTTTTATCAAAACGACTTGCAAGCATGATCATGTATTTCTGTGTGATTATATATTTGTGTTTGTGTGTGTTTGTGTGCGTGCACACTTATTGTATGTGCATAAAGTCAGGACTAAGAATTTCAATTTTCATGTATATCTAGCTATTGTTATCACACATGTAACTGTAGATGCATTGGTGCTTTAGTTTAGAGGGTCAGTTTGTACTTAATATGTTGATAGTAGCAGCATTGCTTTTTCTGTTGCTGCCCCATATGACAGGACAGATACATGAAAAGTGCCACATTGTAGATCACCACCACATTTTTCACAAGTACCTTCAGCCAGGGGATCTACTCATTGGTGGCCTTGTTTGTCACACTTTCTTTGTCTGCAGATCAAATACTTTTGTTGAACCACCACCACCAATGTACTTTGGAAAATATCTGTAAGGAATTGAGCTTAACTTCTGTATGCTTCTGTGAATTTATATGTAGGAGACCAAATTTATGAGTGTGATTGTTTGCAATAAAGTAATGAAGTAGATTGTTTTGAGAAATAAAGGACAGATTGGAAATCTATTTTTGCTCCTCTACCTCTCCAAAGAAATGTTAAGTATATACTAGTATTTAAAATAATTTTAATGAAACCAAAAAGCTTAACTATAAAAACTTAACCAAAAAACTTAACTATATAGCCTATATTTAGCTAAATAAGTACATAAAAAGCAACAATTATATATTTAGCTCTCAACTATGCATTTTAATTCATTTAGATTAATATTTTCTTAATTCAAGTTTTTCTTGGTTAAAAATTGCAATTACAATGTTTAACTTTCTAATAGGAAATGCATTCTTACTCATTTATAGTATTTCTTTTAATTCTTGTTTGAAATTACAATTCTTCTTCATGGAAGATCACCTTATTTCTTCCCAAAAAAATAATTCTGAATTCGTTCCTCTTAGAGGAATCAGAACTGTATAATGATTTTAAATTATCAGAAAATTTCTGCATATAAAATATATACAGAAATAAAATGTATATGTAAACTATATTGTAAATCATCTCCAGTGATTCCACAAATATTTTATTTAATTTTGTTTGACAGTATATAAAAGGGTGTACCTCAGCATTTCTCTAATCTATAGAATATCTTTCGGGGTCATTGGTCAATTTTTTTGTACCAAGAGTGCCTCTTAAGATATGGTATATTTTTTTAAATGAATTAATCTGACACATAATGGAAATCACACTACAGGGTTATGACTCAGAACTACCAGCATATCTTGGCCTTGGTCTTTGCAATAAAGGAAATCAATGAAGATCCCCAGATCTTACACAATTTCACTATAGGATTCCATGTCTATGATACACTTATGAATACCAGGTGGGCCTTTCGTTCTGCAATGCAACTTATTTCTCCAAAAGAGCAATTTCTTCCCAATTACCATTGTGATAATAAAGACAATCTTCTTGCAATTATTGAAGGACTTGGCATTGAATCTTCCTATCAGATCCCAAATATTTTTAGCCTCTATAAGATTCCGCAGGTAAGTTACATGTGTGGATTATAAGCATTTAGTAAAAATCCAATTATCATTTTTGCCATCAGTTATTGATGTGTGTATAGACAGAGATTGATTTATTTCCAGTAATCTTATTAAGCTTATTTTATTTAATTTTGTTTGACAGTATATAAAAGGGTGTACCTCAGCATGGGTGCTGACGTACGGTGCCGACATATCTGATCTGTCAGCCAAAAGAGTTCTAGCATTAAAAATCTTTGCTTGCCCAAATCTTAAATAATAGCTGATAACTATAATAATTATCTTATCCAAAAGAAATTCAAACTGTAAAATATAGTAAATAATTTAATTTTAGTGTATTGATAAAGTTTGAGTTGAAAGAGATACATTGCTATATTTTATATAATGAAATAAGCAGAGAGATCATCCATTGCTAAAATGTCCTGCTGTAGTCCATTTTCAGCATGAAAGCTTTCTAGGTGAGATTGGGCTAGTCACTGACACACACACACACACACACACACACACACACCAATCTTGTTCCATTCTATTTCATTATTTGTTAACTCTTCAAATGCCAATCTGTTTAGCTTTCCTATGGCTCTGCTCCAGTAATGATGGATCACACCCAGTCCTCTTACTTCTACCAAATGGTTCCAAATGAAGTCTATCAGTACAGAGAGATTCTTGAATTACTTCTTTATTTCAGCTGGACATGGGTTGGATTTTTCATTGCATCTGGAATTAATTCTGAATGGGTATTTCAAGTTATGGTTCCAGAATTTGCTACTCATGGGATTTGTTTTGCTTTTATAGATACAGTCTATAACTTAGGCATGATAATTGAATATGGAGATATTAAAAAATGGACATTTAAACTATGGAATACATTCATGACCAGCACAGCTAATGTATTTCTCCTCTTTGGTAATCTTCAAACTCCAATGTTTTTGGACTGGTTGCTAGGCCTAGGAAGAGATAGTGAGAGAACAAACACAACAAAAGGTAAAGTGTGGATTTTGACTGCTCAACTAGAACTTAAGTCCTATAGTAATAAACAGGAACAGAAATCTGCTAAACTTATCTACTCTGGGGCTTTATCATTGGTTGTCCATTCCAATGGGCTGCCAGGATTTCTGCAATTCATTCTGGAGAGAAAGCCTTCCAATGCAAAAGAAGATTTTTTAATAAGAGACTTTTGGTCTTCTGCTTTTGACTGCACATTTCCCAACTGGATTCTGAACCATACAAATAGTGATCTCTGCACTGGACTAGAGAGCATGGAGAACATTTCTGAAAACCTTTTAGAAAGAACCTTTACTGGGCACAGCTATAGTATCTATAATGCTGCATTTGCTGTGGCTCATGCTTTACATGCCATGTATTCATCCAGATTCAAGCACAAGAGAAAGGTGGAGAGGGAGAGATGGACATCTCTGACTCAGCAGCCATGGGAGGTATTGTAAATCTAAAAAGTCTATAAATGCATAATTTTCAATGGGGCCATTACTACAATAAAAGTATAACAGTAGTTGTTTATATAAACTCTGGTGGTCCAACCTGTTGCAAGAATCCATGTGTCTGCATAATCATAGCTATAACACTGTGTACAAAATTTTGCTCCATTTTTATTATAGCAACAAATAGTATGTAAAAAAGACACTTGAAATATTTTGCTAAATTTAAACACTTTTGTGGGAATTATACTGCATCTTTTAACATATATTACATATATTGTAATATATAACATATATTGTATATTGTAGTTGAGTTCAGTTTAGTATAGTTACAGACCAGTTCAAGGTGAGTTATAAGAGGTGAAATTATTACCTACTCAATTAATTAACGTTACAATTAACTACTACAAAATTAACTGCTGTTCAGGAAACAATTCATATAACAAACACATTCATTTTATTTATGTACCTGTAGGTGACTTCTGGCAACTGCCTAGACTAGTTCCTGCACTTTTCTTCGCTAAATGTTTGGATATGGTATAACATTGCCTCGCCCCCCCTAAGGCTGAGGGAGGGACTGGCCCATGTTCACCCAGTTGGCGGGTGAAGGCAGACCCAGTTTGTAGGGTCTGGTGTTGTTGTTTTTTTTGTAAATTTTATTTGAGTTTTCACAAAGAAAAAAATATACAAACAAAACATCTTTTTTTAAAAAAAATTTTTTTTATTAATTTTCAATAAACAAACAAACACAAACAAAACACAAAACATGAAAACATAAAACTTCTTTTTGGAAAGCGGCTTCGTCCTGGGTTACATCTTTTGTACAGACATAAATCAAATTCATGCTCACTTTATATACCATTTCATATCTTATTTACCATTCTACATTTTTTATATAGCTTCTCCCCTCTTTTCATTCTCTTAATTCTATTTTATTTATTTCATCTCAATTTAAATCATTATGCTTTTATCTTTTGTCTGTTCTATTTCAATTATCTATTATCTTTTCTCATTAACACAAAATTTCTCCTGTAATCACTGATTGAAGTATGACACCTTTATATCTTTCCCCTAAATTTAACACTTAAAATAATATATAATTTTCATTCTGATTCTGCTTACTACATTCTAAAGCTACGTACTATATTTTAAAATAGGAAGATAATAAGTTTATAATATAATTAGAACAATAATCCATAGCAAATTAAACTCTATCGTTAAATCTTAAACATTTTATACATTCCTTTTAATATTTTATCCCATTTTATAATCATATAATGTTCCAGTTTTCTAACATTATTTCAAATATGAATACAAGAATACAGTCTTATGTACTTTTGCAGAATCTCTTTTTTAATTATATTTTTACCCATTATCTCTGAATAAATCCTGTTTCTTTACATCTTGTTTCAAACCTTTGTAACTTCTCTTCCCTTTTTTCCTTCCTTTCTTCTCCAATCTAGCTTTTTTACACCCTTGTCTCTTGATCTCCACCCACTTAATCTCCACCCTCTTCTATATTCCTCTTTTCTGTTGCTTTCCGGCATTGTATCGATTTTTCACCTTATTTTTCCCTTTTTTGGTTGTTTTTTTAAGTCTTAAATTCTCCATTCTCTTTCCTCTCTTTCCCTTTTCTTCCCAGACTAGAATTGCTTGTTCATTAAAGATGGCTTCTTCTTCATCCCGCTCTTCTTGTTCTTGTAGTTTCTGATAGGTAAAAATCACCATTTCTAAGAGAGGAAAAACAGATCCAGAAGAGCCCTTCCCTTCTTGTTCCTCTTCTTTTAGCTTTTTAAATTCCATTTTCAGTTCATCAACAAGTGATGCCATTGTGAAAAAAAAATTTAAACAACCCAAATGTTTTTAGTCTTTCAAATAATAATTTCCAAAGGTCCCAAAGTCACCAAGCAATCCAAATATACACAGTCTGTTTCATTTAGCACTTTCTTCTTTTTATACTTTCTCTTCTTGGGGTTACACTTCAGTTGCAAAGTTCCAAAATATATATTTTAGAAGTCTTGTTACAATTTAACTCTAGTCTTATAAGTTCCAAGCAGCCTCCTCCAGCAACACCTTAATATTAATTCTTTTCCTCTCCCTTCCCACTTATAGCTAAAAAAGTTTTATTTTCCAATGTTCAGAAATCTTTAATGTCCCCTTGGCTTTAATTTTCAAATTTGATTACCTGCTGATGCCAAAATGGGTTTTTCCGATTTCCATCTGCTATCGGCATTAGGAAGGAGAGTGAGAAAAAACAAACTTTCCCTTTTAACTTTCATCCACCGCTTTTTCCAATCTTCTTTGGGAACAATGTATCTTTAATGAAGTTTAAATTCCAGGGTCTTTAAATGTCACTTATTATTCCGGTCAGCCAAAAACTTTCACTTCTCAAGCTTCCTCCTGCACATTCTTATCCGGATGAAAGCTTCTTTGTGGCGGCCATTGCTGACTGCTGCTCCACCACTTTCGGAAAAGGGAGTTAAGCCAGCTGAGGAGGTGGGGGTTGAGATTCCCCCGGACCCCTGCTGGATCTCTCCTGACTTCAGTTACCTCTACGGGGTAACTATTAGCCCCCAAATCCGGCTGGATCGGGGGCACCCCAGCGGCGAGCGCAGCAAAAACCACGCACAATCACGGATTCCTGCCAATATATATACCCTAAAGTTATAACATTCAATATAATACATAACTTCCATTCAGATTCTGCTTGGTATATTCTTAAAATACATGCTATATTCTTAAAAAAAGAAAAAAATTATAAATGTATGTAATTAAAACAACAAATTCCATTCCAATTCAATTCTATCATTAATATTAATATTCATTAAAATCTTAACTTCTTTAACATTACTTTTCAATTAAATATCATATTTCTATGGGAACAATTATAAGCTTTCCATAATTAATCCCCCCCCTTCACTTATACTTTATAAAACATTAACTAATAAAATTGTTCCTGTTTTTTCTTAATTCAATTTTCTCATTTATTTTATTTCACTTATTTTATTAACAAACATTTCACTAAATTACACTAACTATTTTTTCCCTCATTTTAATCATACATTGTTTCCAATTTTCTAAAGTTATTTCTATTACTAATATAACAATACAATCTTATGTACCTTCACAGAAAACCTTTTTCAGTTAGATTTTCACCCATTATTTCTAAATAGGTCCTGTTTCTCCATATCTTGTTCCGGTCTTTTGTAAGGTCTTTTCCTTTCCTTCTTCCCTCTCTTCTTCTCTCTCCCCCTTTTACCCCCTTGTCTCTCTACCTCTATTTCTCTCTTCTGTATCACCCTTTTCTGTTGCTTTCCAGTATTATACTTATTTTTCAAATTATTTTTCTTTTCTTTTGTTGTTTTTTTAAGTCTTAAATTCTCCATTCTCTTTCCCCGCTTTCCTTTTTCTTCCCCATATAAAATTACTTGTTCATTAAAGATGGCTTCTTCTTTGTCCCAGTCTTCTTGTTTTGCAGACATTTTTTGTTGTTTCTCATAGTTCCAAATCTCCATTTCTAAGAATTGAAAAATGAAGCCAAAAGAACCCCTCCCTTCTTGTGCATCTTCTTTTTAAGTTCCTTTTTCAATTCATCCAGAAGTAGTGCCATTGTATAAATTTTTAAACAACCACCCAATTAATTTTAGTCATTCAAATGTAATAACCAAGAATCCAAAGATCACCAAATAATTTAAATACACACAAGCTGTTTCTTTTTGCTTTCTTTCACTTTCTCTTCCTGGGGTTACTGTTTAGTTACAAAGTTTCAGTTAAAATGTATCTTTTAGAAGTCTTGTTGAGATTTTACTGTAGATTCTTTTTAATTCCAGGCAGTCTCCTCCCTCTTCCAGATCCTGCCCTTTTATTCTTTTTCTCTCCCTTCCTGCTTATGAAAAAAAAAATTAGTGTCCAGAAATCTTTATTATCCCTTTGACATTTTTTTTTATTTTCAGCTAAATTGCCTGTTGATGTCAAAGTGGATTTTTCTGATTTCTTATTTAAGTCTCTTAGTTGTCAGTATAGGGAAAGGGAGAGAAGAAAAAAAAAACCAAACCTTTCCCTTTTCACTTTTCTTTGCTGCTTCTGACTCTTCTTTGGGAACGATGTTATTTTTTTGTAAGTTTAAATTCCAGGGTACCTTAGTTGTTGCTTTTACAATTTAACCTGGTCAGCCAAAACTTTCACTTCTTATCTTCCTCCTGCACATTCTTTTCCAATCGAGTTCTTCTTTGAGGTGGCCATTTCTGACCACCGCTGCAACCGCCTTTGGGAATGGGAGTACTGGCCAGCTGAGGAAAAGAGATGCGGCTCTCCTCAACCCTGCTGGCAGTCTCCCCCCTCTTCACCACCTCTATGGGGTGGCTTAGCCCCGAAACCAGCCAACTTGGGGTGCTCCAGAGGCAAGCCCAGACTGAAACCGCGCATGATCACGGATTTCTGTCTGTCGCCGAAGAGACTTCAAACCAGACAGCAGTTTGTGGGGTCTGTTTTGTAGCCTGTTATCTTAACCACTGCATCAGACTGGCTTTCATACATACTATTTAGGTTTCAGTTGAAATAAACCTTCTTGAATGAAGGCTAACTTCATGAAGTTCATGAAGTTCTCCATCAGAATGTTGACATTATCTGTGAAGTCCTAACTTACAGTATTTTTTATATCCATTTACTGAATTTATCAACACTATGAGTAATCTATTGCCAGATGTTTTATTGGGATTTAAATTATCATTGCCTTGCTGGGCAGGACAAATGTTCATTACTGATCATTAAGACAACCTGATTTTTAAAAAGCAGTTGGGTTGTTTTAGAAGTTACAGAACTCAATACTGTGATAAGCATTTGAAGCTGTCTCTTATCATTCATTAATCTTAAGTACATATGTTAATTGTGTTAATGAGTGCATAGGTATAATAAATTGTTTAGTATTAAATTAAATTGTGATGGAATGTAGTAGGCAGGATTTCCAGTGCAGGTGAGTGCATTCAAGAGGAAAATGAAGCAGTCAGTCCAGATATTTTTGTGTGAGGGGGAAAAGGGTGAAGACAGCCCTTTCCTAATAGTTCTCAACAGTATAGTAAAGTACTTTACTTGACAAAATTTTGACTATAAGTGTGCTACAATAAAGAACTGTGCTTGAAAGAAATTACCAGATATTTTTCCTGGTTTGGGGAGCTGACACAATTGTTCACATCTTTGTTTCAGTTCCATACACTGGAACATTTTTTGTTTTCCTTTTATCCTCAGCTGCTCTATTTTCTGAAGCAAGTGTCTTTCAACAATAACATAGGGGAAATGGTTTCCTTTGACCAGAATGGTGTACTTCTAACAACATTTGATGTTATAAACTGGGTTTTGTTTCCAAATGAGTCTTTAATTGGAGTAAAAGTTGGAATGATCAACTCACAAGTAACAAGAGACCACAAATTGATGATGAACAAAAATTCCATTGTTTGGCATAGCTGGTTTAATGAGGTAGGACATAACTGTCTTAAAATATGACTCAGGATATATTTCTTGCTCATGATGGATTTGTCAAATATTTTATTATTATACTCTGTTTATTTCTTCAGCTTTAGTAACATTTTGAGTTCAGTTAATGATTTTAATATACATATACAAATAAATTTCATCTGAATGTCTCCAAACATACTAACATTATATTTCTGTGCACATTTAGGCAATACAATTTCTATAACTGGACATGCATTTATATGAATATTAAATATAACTTTATCCTACTCATAATAGTCTTTTTTTACTGCTCTTATTCTAATATTGGAGGATGAAATCATTTTTATATATAACTCAATACTAAAACTTTATCATCTTTCTTTCTCGACTTTCTATACTGTACATTTCTTTGGGTTGTTTTTCTTCCCCTATGCTCAATTACCTTAAAATTAAATCAAGAATATGCAAATACTATACTTTTCAAAATAGTCTATAAGAAAAAAATGCTTAATTCTGATAAGGAGACTATATATTACCATCTGACAACATTGTAACAGATTATTAATAGTATTAGCTTTTTAAAGAAGCTTGCATTCAATTTTAATAATACCTAATCTACATCTGCAAGCAGCTTTTCTTAAAAGCAATCCATGGAATAATTGGCACAATGAATTTGAACAATGTTAAAGAGTAAGCCTTTTAGCAATGAGTTAATTTTTTCATAGGAAAGATTGGAATAGCCTATTTCAAATTTAGGATTTTTCCAGTGAGCTTGGAATAACTGTTCCAAAGTCAAACAGGATAATTTGGCATAAGAACATTTTAGCCCAAAAGAACTATGAAGGCAATAACCTGAAAAAAATTAGTGTATGCCATGTTCTTCTCTGGCTGCAAATATTCTATAATTTTTCTTGTGAAGATGTATGTTAATTTCTGAATTCTACTCACATTGGTGAACTAGGTGCAACCTCTCTCAATCTGTAGTAACAAGTGCCAACCAGGTTACAGCAAACAAAAGAAAGAAGGGGAGTCATTCTGCTGCTATGATTGCATTCCCTGTCCAGAAGACAAGATTTCTGAGTGGGAAGGTAAGAGATACTGCGCTTTCTCAAATACATGAACTACCACAGAGATCACACTAGGGTTGTATTTTCTTCTTATTTCTTCTTATTTTTTTCTCTTATTTATTCTACTGTTTACATATTGGACCTTTTTTTATGGGCTTAAATAAAATTCAACCCATTTACTTGCTCCACTAAATTTAATTTACTGTTTTAATTGTGTTTTTTACACCACCATCACCCCATCAAAAGCAGATTGCATTGTTTGAATTTTTGAATTATCTTTTATCTTCATTTAAACAGTACTAAACATTGAATAACTACAATTGGACTAATATTATTATCAAAGAATAAAGTACAGAATCATGGAAATTCTGAATTACAGTTTATTTTAGTTGAAAGGCCAAGAAACAGTAATAAACATGAACATGACATAAAAAGAGAGCAAAGGGAGATAATAGTACAAGGGAATTCCTGGTGTTATCTAATTGGAAATCTGAGTATTCACTGAAAAAAATATATAAGTGGAAAAAAGCTACTTTATAAAGTTGCTGCAACTTGAACAGATTGGATCTAGATTTTGGTTGGATCTAGTTCTGAATATTGCCAATATTTGTTTTATGGAAAAGAGGTTTCATAAGGTAATGCTTTCTATTAATGAACATGCAGGTTACTTGCTCCTACAACACTTTCAAAGGGGGGAGGGAATTAAAAAAACCAAGAGAAGTTAGTAGACACAGTATTGGACTGAATGTATTTTACAGGGATACAAATAATGAAAATTAGTTCCATTATCAATGGGCCATCTCACAAGAGAAAAGTGTCTATTATAGAAAGATGCAGTTCTTCCTCATTAACTTATGGTATATGATACACTATAATACAGATGTGTATCTAAGACTAAGCTTCTGTTTTACAGATATGCCTGACTGTGTTGAGTGCAAACAAGATCTTTACCCAAACAATCATCAGAATGCCTGCATTCCTAAAATTGTAATCTTTTTATCCTATAATGAACCTATGGGAATGGGTTTAACCATTGGGGCTCTTTTTCTTTCACTAATAACTATTGGCATTTTAAAAACATTTAGAACTCATCACAATACTCCCATCGTCAAAGCTAATAACCGGGATCTCACATATATTCTTCTTGCCTCCCTTCTTCTCTGCTTCCTCTGTACTTTGTTTTTTATTGGGCAGCCTCAGAAGATCATGTGTGTCCTGCAACAAGCAGTTTTTGGCATTGTCTTCTCAGTGGCTGTTTCTTCAGTATTGGCCAAAACCATCACTGTGGTTCTGGCATTTATGACCACCCAACCAGGGACAAAGAAAACTAGGGGGATGGGGAAAGGACTGTCCAGTTTCATTGTCATTTCTTGTTCTCTTATTCAAGTTGGCATTTGTACTGTGTGGCTGTCAACCAGCCCCCCATTCCTGGATGCTGATATGCATTCAGGAATGGGTGAAATTACTCTGCAGTGTAATGAGGGATCCCCTGTCATGTTTTACAGTATGATTGGGTACATGAGCTTTTTAGCCATTGCCAGCTTTATAGTTGCTTTCTTTGCCAGGAATTTACCTGACAGTTTCAATGAAGCCAAATCTATTACATTCAGCATGTTAGTGTTCTGCACTGTATGGCTGTCATTTGTCCCAACTTACCTGAGCACCAAAGGAAAATACATGGTTGCTGTGGAGATTTTCTCTATTTTAGCTTCCAGTGCTGGATTGCTGAGTTTTATATTTTTTCCCAAATGGTACATCATTGTTGTGAGGCCTGAACTGAACAACCGGGATCAGCTTAAATGGAGAAAGCACTGAAGAAGAAAAGAATCTACAACATCTATTACAGGTAGAAGATAATCAGGCACACTTATTTTTAAAGAGTGTACTGATGAGCTTTTTGAAACTATCTTGGCTGATTCTAATGGGGTTTGTATGTTTGCTTTTGGTTTGGTAGTATTTATTAAAAAATTATACCCAAAGCAATACAAACTAAAAAAAGAAGAAAAGAAACAGTAGAAGTTAAGAAAAGGAAAAAAAATGAGAGAGATAAAAAAGTAATAATATAGTAAAAAAAATGAAAATAAATATGTAAACAATTTACTTCCCACTTTTATTACAAATATAATTTTAGAAGTTTATCAGCCCCTCTTAAAATACAACAATTGACCTCTTCTTCCCATGTCCTATTTCTTATGTAGAAATAAGTTGATTAAACTTTGTGTTATGGTCCTGTTATCAGTAAAAGTCCATTAAAGCTTACCAAGGATGGAGCATATCTATTTTAACTTTGATCAAATAAACCAACTTTATATTCATTCCTTTTATGGGTAACAATCTTAACATTTAGTCCATTCAAATAATTTTGTTGAACTTTATTTCTTTTCATTTTTTCTTTTTCTCTTGTCACAAGATTATTCTAATCTTTAGCAAGTTCTTCTGAAACCCTAAGTAAAAAATATTATCCAAGCCATGCTCAGTTTATTATTGTATATCCATTTTAATTATTTCTTTTCCAGCTAAAACATAATATAATACTAGTGATTAAAATCAATGGACACACATTGAAATGGAAATGGATAAAGACAATTTATTTAATTCTAGGTTCCCATTTTTAGACAATTTAACACAATTCCTCACTTTCTTCTAAGAGTTCTTTTAATAATTGTATAGTCTGCACTGAACTTGAAAGATTTCTCACCACTAACAAAAGAATTATTGCATTCTTAAAGTAATCCTGACAATTGATTATGCTGAATTGCCTCCAGAGCACTAGGGCTTGTTGGGTGAGACATTTTGCCAGATATTTGATCCATATGTCAGTTTGCCATGTCCTTTCATTTGACAAATGCACTACTGCTATATCTCCCCAACTTTCTACATTAAAGCAATATTTTTCAGTTGCTTTCCTTTTTCAGGGGGGAAAGAGAGTTAGGGTTAGGAATATTATGTACATTTATATACTAATATAGGCACACATTTGCAATGTTATATGATACAAAGTTAAATTGAATGCATATGTACAAAGTTAATGATATAAATATAGAAACCAGCAGCTTTATGTTTTGGAGAAAGTGCTGATTTATATAATTATAACTGCAAAATTTAGACAAAAGCTAAAGTTTTCATAGGATAATATTATTTGGAAGTATACAGTACATGGAATATGACAACCAGGCAATATAAATGCATTCTTTCTATGGTCAAAAGACTGATGTTCCATCATTGGAAAGATGAACATATGGTTTCATTTATTCAATAGATTGAAGATCTGATTACACTTGCCACTTATGAGTGGAATACCTATAGATGTAAACTCTGTATGAAAATATAATGAAATATGGAACTTATTTATACAATACACTACATATTAAAAACAAAAATTAAAAATGATAGTCATATAAATGTATTAAAAAAGCATACATACTTGAATAATATTTTCATTGTATCTGCACCATTATTATCTTTGTGCTTTATTTTTTTCCTTTTTTGTTATAAATCAGAAAGCAATAAAACTGAATAAATGCAAATAAAAACTAGATTTAGAATAAAATAAATAAACCAAAAACCTTTTCCTATATTTCCTCAGCTGCTTCTCAAGAAAGTGTATTGAAGTTACCTTTACAGAAGGTTTTTCTCACTGGCATAGTGGTTATAACTGAACTGACATGCAGAATGCACCTAATTCAAAACTCATTAGAAACCTGAAACTATGTATTTTTCTTTCCCTGATTATGAGTTTACAAACATTAACTGAAATAAATAAATAAATAAATAAATAAATAAAATAAACAAAACAAAGACCCTGCACTCAAAATCTGGGAAACAGTCCAGCTTTATCACCTAAGAGTATATTTCTAGGAATGAATTGCCTTCCAGTAAAATTTACTGGAATTATATATTTTTGGAATCCAATCTAAAGTTTGTTTAGGATATTATTATTTTTAATAAATTGTTGTATAAGTGTATTTATTTATCAAATTTAGAAACATCCCATAACCTTCACAGAGATTAGGTATGTTCTGCCCTTTTATTCAAAATTTTAGGTAAATTAGGTAAATCTTGCTTCAACAAATAATCACAACCTGAAATCTGCTATAACTGATCATAATTTGAATGTGGGTTGACTTTAGGGAAAAATAGGTGTATAAAAGTTCAAATACATTTAGAAGCTAATTTTCATTTCCCCCCCCCTTTTTTTTCTTTCCTTGCATTTAACAAGAAAAAGTTTTCTATTAAACTTTTTCTAGAATCACAACAAAAATGTTGATATGAATTGAAAATTTATAAATGAAAATACAGGAAATCCCCCAACAACTATTGCATACTAGACACAACTGAAAGAGATATATCATGCCCAATGACAGTAGAGTGACCGATACCTGTGTTAGTGTTTGTCTTGAAACCAAGGCAAACACTAATACAGGTATCGGTCACTCTACTGTCATTCCTAAACTTAATAGGAACTAGTTTAAGAACTATAGTTCCTTTCAAAGTTTAGAAACTATAGTTCCATGATTTAGGAACTATAGACATTCCTTTGCAATCTAAACTATGATTTGGTAATGTAACCAAACAGGATGGATACAGACTCTAATTGATAGTTAAGACTGCAGAAAAAAACAACTGCAATCAGCCTGCCTTCCATAGAAGACCTCTATATTGGGTGGGTCAGAAGGAAGGCTGAGAAGATCTCTGCAGACCCATCTCATCCTGGACAAAAATTGTTTCAATCCCTCCTCTCAGGACCCCATAGCAATATTGTTCACAGGCATACTCAGTTACTTCATTTCCTAAAGGGGCCCAGGAAACAGAGGAGCTAATTATATGGGATAAATAGCATCACCATCAGATGGATTTGTAACTGGCTGACAAACCGTACTCAATGAGTATTTCTTAACAGTTTTACATCTACATGGAGGGAAGTAAGCAGTGGGGTACCACAAGGTGCCGTCTTAGGCCCAACACTCTTCATAAATAATTTAGATGAGGGAATAGAAGGGGAATTTATCAAATTTGCAGATGATATTAAGCTGGAAGAAATAGCAAACACCCTAGTTGATCCAGATGGATCTTGACAGATTTAGACTCTAGGCTCTAACTAACAAAATGAAATTCATTGTAGACAAAAGTAAAGTCTTACACTTAGGAAAAAAAAAACCAAAAGTACACATATAAATTGGGAGAAACCAGGCTTAATAGCAGTAACTGTGAGAATGATCTTGAAGTCTTAGTGGGCAACCAATTAAATATGAGCCAATGGCCCAAAAAGCCAATGCAATCCTAAATTGCATTAACAGAGTGATTCACTCAAGATCACTATATCACTCTATAAAGCTGCATCTATCTATCTATTTATTTATTTATTTAGATTTGTCAATCGCTTACAAGATAATAGGTATAAGTATATACATAGTTATGAATATATGAAATGGGTACATATAAGAAAAATAAAAGAAACAATAGGACAGGGGTGGTAGGCACGTTGGTGCGCTTATGTCTCCACACTATAAAAAAGATGTTGAGACTCTAGAAAGAGTACAGAGAAGAACAAGAAAGATGGTTAGGAAACTGGACTCTAAAATGGGTCACCAACATTTTGGATCTCAGGGATCACCAAACTCATAATTTTAAATCCCACAGACCACTAATACAAATTTTGACTGATGGTGTCTCGCTGACGTTGGTGGGAAAGTCAGTCCCATATTCCAGAAGTGAAGTAGTCACAGGACTGGCCCTTTGGTCATCCTGTAACAGCTGCTCCTCCAGTCCATGGCAGGCCAGTGTACCCGAGTAGAGGAGCAGCTGCTCCGGGATGACCAAAGGGCCAGTCCTATGACTACTGCAGCTCTGGAATATGGGACCAACTTTCCCACCAACATTATCAAGCCACCCTGCAGTGGATTTCCCTCCCCCACCATTGGTCTTATCTTCCAGTTCCAGCTCTACTCAAGGTAAGATTTGCATTTGGCTGAAGGGTGGGGGCCAGCAGGTCAGCAGGCCATGTGAGTGGTGCAGCCTTGTGTTTCCACGCAGCCTGGAGTAATTGCTTTGGGGGACCACCAAAATTTTCTTGCAGACCACTAGTGGTCCTCAGCCCACTGGTTGGCAACCACTGCTCTAAAACATTTGAAGTACAGTTACAGGAGCTGGGCATGGCTAGTCTAGTGAGGAGAAGGACCAAGGGAAAATGATATAAGACATAAGACATAAGACATAAGAATTTTATTTGTCATTACACTCGCAAGCGGGTGCAACGAAATGAGGTGCTCTTCCACAAGTAAAACTGGACAACACCATTGAAAGAAAAAATAAAATTAAACACAACAGACTATACAATAATCGCTATACAATTTAAAAATGTAAATACCCCATTACTCTCAGCCATTAAATTCCACAAAAATCTTATGACCCTGCATTCAAACTCAAAACTGCATTTGGATAAAAACTGTTCTTAAATCTAGTCGTCCTTGTTCTTAATACCCTGAATCTCCTTCTCGATGGTAATAGTTCAAAGAGCTGATGTCCCAGATGAGAGGAGTCATTCAATATATTAAATATCTTCCTCTTACATCTATTCCTATACCGTTCTTCCAAAGAGGGGAGTGAACAGCCAATGATGTTTTGGGCCATCTTAATCACCCTCTGAATTGCCTTTTTCTCTGCCACTGTGCAGCTCGAGAACCATACACAGAGACAGTAGGATAATATACTCTCAATTGAACTCCGATAGAAGGTAGTCAGTAGACTCTCAGCCAGTTGTTGTTTCCTAAGAATCCTTAGTAAATAAACCGTTGTTGTGCCTTCTTAATTAAAGC